AAAACCATTACCCATGACCAAGCGAACGCAACTTCTGTATAAGCCCCTATCGGTGTGCGCGTATAAACGCGCGGCGTCGAGACACTCTTTGATGATACTGGAACTTCTTTTACTTGCGCGCTCCTGCCGTAGGTCCGTAAGACGAACCCAATTTCCTCGGCGACGGCAAGTCGACCCTTCGGATTTGTCCGACATGCCCACGGGAAGAATTCAGTTTTCTCGTTGGCGATTGGTTACATCTTTTCTCGGCCGTTATCCTTTCGTAACGCATTGTTTCCAATGACTTAACTGGTTCGCACGCCGTTTGCCATCGGGAGATATCGATAAATTCAGAAATTATTAACACACGATCCCGAGATGCACTGTAATTTATTTCAGGCAACTCGTTAGCGTATGCTGTTATTTCAATTCTTAAAAGTGAAGTGGATGCTACATATATTATTCTTCTTATTCGTTCAATTTATGTACGTTTTCAAACGTACATAAATTAAGCGTACATTTTCTTCATGTATCACTTGCAAATAGTTTTATATTTAACTATGTTTAACTGTCCCGTGAATGACTCCCCTTTCATTATACTTAATATTTAAAATGTTCAAAGTTCTGCTCTTGCGAAGTCGGGAAAAGGAGTCGGAGGCTCCGATGTGTAGATAAGTCAGTTAGCGACTCGCTCTAGCACGTTCCGACGTGGTGCGCTTTTTTGCATGGGCATTTTCTTATTGCTCTTTCTTTTCCCCTTTTCTCTTTCGCTCCCACTCATTTCTAACGAGTGATTCATCATCGGTGTCGCCTTCTCTTCTTTCTCTGATTAACTGGCTGGCTTGCTGGCTGGCTAGCTAGCTAGCTGGCTGTTTGGTCCCTGGATCTTCCGCTTCTTCTGTTTTTCTCCTTTCTTTCATCTTCCTCTTCCCCCCTCTAGCTTTTTACTCCATATCCTTATTTTGTTCCTGTTCCACTGGTGTCATATCACATAACTCTTTCTTATTAAAAACATACTTTCAGCTTTTTCATACATTTTGGAACCCCATCGGATCTGTTGAATTTTAGTTTTATCGTAAAGTAAAAATTGAGGCTTTTTATATAATCTTGCGGATTAATTGAGGCGAGCCTACGACGTCGTAGAATATTTGAAACAATATTTTTTACTTTAATGTCATCTCGTTGGTGCGAAGAGATTAAAGTGCTTTCTCTTCAAATACTTGCGAACGTCAGTTATGTCTGCGGTGTGAGCACAGTAGGAGTGACAAGGAAGATATTAAAAGCTAAATCCTTTTATTTATTTCTTCTCTGCTCTACTCGTCACAATTTTATCAACTTCCTATTTTATAATAAAATCTGTTTTATGACAGGAGAATACGGATGCAAAGAGTCACTTTTTGCATTTCTAGAAAGTATCATTGCGCAGTTGTACTTATTATTTTCATTATATTACTCACATTTAGTAGCCGCACTCGTTAACAACGACATGGGCACTTTAATATATTTGTAGACTGGCGATTTAAGCGAAAATAATTCTGAAAGCAATGATACTTGACGCATCTAGATTATCTCTGTTTATTTCCCGTTAAAATTCATCATTTAACTATTCTATTTTATCTGGTGAAGGCGCTACTGTTTTATTTAGTATTAATGAATCTTTAAGCGCGCGGAGGCTGCTCGAAATATCCATGCATTTTGATTAGTATTGAAGAACGAGCGTCGTTCATTTCGAAAAGTCCACCTTCGGCCCGGAAGGTGGGATTCCAGTAATTCGGTCATGGAATGGATGGGCGACGACGAGGGAGCGAGAGGAACGATGAAGTGGGCCGGGTGAAGGGATAGGATAGGGACGGGAGGGCGTTTCACGGCACCCTGCATGGGGTAGCTTGCAACCTCACGCGACACTAGAGCCATCTATATCCCGAGAGATTTATGAGTTCCTGGTGCAGCGGCTGCTCGTAGCAACTACACGCTACACAATATCGGTATAGTGCGATGGTAGTGCTGCCCCCTGTCGCGGGACGAGCGCACTGTTGCTCCGCGGGGGTTTCTCGCGTTCGTTCAACGCCGTTCCTGGCAAAAAACTCCGGACTCGATCTCAATCCAAGCCCCTCTCCGGGCTACATCCACCGGCCCGTCAGCCGCAGCTTCGACAATGTATGCATCCATAGGTGTACCTGTTCCGCCCTTGAGAAATCGCATATTTTGTAACGCTATGCTTTCTGTACACGGCGCGCGAATTAATATATCTTTTTGGGGTCCGTATACCTGGCAAGTATAAGATGAATGGGAGTTTACTAGTTTTTGTTAGAACAATATCTTATTTACCATAGCAATTGGACGATTTGTACATCGAACAATTAAATCTACTGAGGGAATACTGTTTAAGTAGTAATAATTGAAAAGAATACCGACTGCGTTATAACCGATTTAATTAACGTAGCAATTTTTACTAAAGAAAGGTGCAAACAGTTAACGCATTCTAATATGATTACCGTATTTTTAAATATATTCCTGAAAACATTGAACTTCAAAATATATACTTTGAGAAGAATGTATTTATGACGTTGATTGTCGCTTCATATGTAGATGCCCGAATCTATTCGTTCCATCGTCAACAGATGAAAATTGTGCCAAAGAATAACGCAGGCGGTTCCTGCATATAATTAAAAGTTAACAGCACAAAGAGGCGAGGTATCAGCCTTGATTTCCATTCACGACCGGCCAAGCGTAGAGAATGGCAAGTCGAGATTTTCGAACAGCCCCCCAGACACAGCCGTCCGTTCGCACTCCGCGTGATATTCTGCAGGGGTAACCAATGAGTGCGGCCCAGGGGTGGGGGGTTCGCCCCTGGTGCTATATGCGAGTACGGGACGATGACGACGGCGATATGAGTACTGGTATCTACCTATCTACCTATGCTTCTACACTCCATCCCACTTCACCCCATCCCCTTGATGCGGCCGGTTTACGAGCAACCTGTGGTAACGAGAGCGATAGATAATAACTGCTCCGTGCTCAATTCCACTACCTTCTCGCCCCCCCCCTCTCTCTCTCTCTCTCTCTCTCTCTCTCT